CTGATTAATTTGCAATTGGTATTTAAAAATAAAAATTAAGGGCCAGACGCCGTTGCTCACACCCATCATCCCAGCTACTCAGGAGGCTGAGATCTGGAGGATCTCCGTTCAAGGCCAGCCCCGGCAGGAAAGTCCCTGAGACTCTTATCTCCCATGAGCCACCAGAAAACCAGAAGTGGTGCTGTGGCTCAAGTGGTAGAGCGCTTGCAAGGAGATGATTCAGGTCGAGACTCCCAAGGCAGAAGAGAACCCTCAACAGAGGAAAAGCCAGGCCTGAGATTTCCCTGACAGGGGCGGAGCCATCTCCACAGAACTCGGTGCATAAATTTGCATGGCAAAGAAGATTCTTTGCATGCTAGGTTCCAGAGGCTTTCATTTCCAGGCGACCAAAATGCCAACCCCATGATTCGGGGGGGGGGGGGGGCCTGGATTCTGTCTGCCATTGAAATGGGCCACGAGAAAGCTGGGTGCTGCCTGTCATCCTTAGCTACTCAGGAGAGCTGAGATCCAGAGGATCCATGAGACTCTTCATGTCCCACGAACCACCAGAAAACCGGAAGTGGCGCCATATGTATGGCTCCAAGTGGTAGAGCGCCAGCCTCGAGCAAAAAGAGCTCAGGGACAGCGCTCTGTCCCTGAGTTCAAGACCCAGGATTGACATGAAATGATAATGATCATGAGGAGGAGGGAGGGTGGGTGGGCTGGCTGGAGATGGGGGGGTGCGGGATCGCTGGCATTGCATTGCTCCGGGCAGGAATGGCATCTGGGGATGGGCCTTGGTGTGAGATGGAAGGGAAGAGCAATGTGCTGGTGATTGTGACAGAACCATGGCTATGGTTCAAGCAGGCTTAGGGAGGCCCGTTTTAGGGCACTGGTGCAAAGTTGGAGGTGACTGGGGGTGTGTGTGTGTGTGTGAAGGCTTTGTAGTCAGAGCCAGAAGAATGTGTGACGGGGGAAAGAGTTAGAGGGGGTAGAGGGAGGGTGGCGCCAAGTAGCTCATGCCTGTAATCCCGGCTACTCGGAAGGCTGAGATCTGAGCGTCACAGTTTGAAGGCCAGTCGGGGCAGATAGATCCTTAAGGAACAAAAAAAAATTTTAAGGAAAAAAAAAAAAAAAGATTCTTCTCTCCCAGGAGCCAGCAAAAAGCTGGCAGTGGCCATGTAGCTCAAGTGGTAGAGCACCAGCCAGGAGGGAGAAAGCTGAGCGGAAAGCCCTGAACACCAGTAACCTCTCTTCCCCCTCCTCTCTCTAACACACACACACACACACACACACACACACACACACACACACACACACACACACAAGGAGAAGCTGTCCTGATCAAGGGAATAGCATTTAGGGAGGGGAACAAACCAGATAGACAGACAGACAGACAGAGTGTGCACATACACGAGTAGGCCAGTTCTAGGGCTTGAACTCAGTACCTGGTTGCTGTCCCTGAGCTTTAGTGCTCAAAGCTAGTACCCTACCACTTTGGGCCACAGCTCCACTTCCAGTTTTGTTCTGTTTTTGCTGGTTCCTTGGAGATTAGAGTCTCATGGACTATCCTGCCCAGGACTGGCTTCGAACCGCCATCCTCCAGATCTCAGCCCCCCCAGTAGCTAGGGTGACAGATGTGTGAGCCGCTGGCGACCGGCTTTCTCCTAAACATTCCACAGCTGTAAGCATGGGGGGAGGGGGTGGCTCCCAAATCAGAGTCCAGAACATTCTGAGATCACCCCCCTGTAACCCTCTTCTAGGAGTGACTGGAAGATAAAAGCAGGGCAGGGAGGGGAGAGGGAAAACGGATCCTGCCGCTCCCCGGGGGACCCGCTCAGACAAAGGATGGTTCTTGGCAGGTTGATGCCACACACTGAGGCCAGAGGCCAGCCTGGGGAACTAGACCTGGTATCTGGTTTCAGCCCCTCCAGCCCAGGGGGTGGGGGTGTGGGGACAAAGTTGTGGGGGTGCTGTGCGTAGAAAGGATGGGAAAACCTATGCTGGCCCTTGCACACAAGCACCCAGATGCCTGTCTTCCCAGCCATTCAAGAGGCTGAGATCTGGAGGATCGAGGTCTGAAGCCAGCCTGGGGAAGGAAAGTCTGTGAGACTCTTATCTCCAATGAACCACCAGAAAACCGGAAGGGCCATATATATATATGGCTCAAAGTGGTAGAGCGCCAGCCTTGAGCACAAAGGGGCTCAGGGACAGCACCCCAGGCCCTGAGTTCATGCCCCAGGACAGGCAAATAAATAAACAAATAAAGATAAATACATAAAATAGAAGGCAGACACGCCCCTCCCCGGTAGCTGCTCCTGTCTTAGGCATCTCCCATGGTATAACTGCAGACTCAAAAGGCAATGTGCCAGGCAATGTGCCAGGGCCAGGCACAATGGCTTTGGTAGTTAGGCAGCCAGGGGAACAACCGAAGCACAAGGCATTGGAGAAACCCAGAAAGGAGTTTCAGAGTCTCCTTTTTCTATTTTGTGGATGAAGAATATGATATAAAGGAAGGAACACAGACCCCCACATCCCCAAATCAGCAACTGGGTCCTGGGGCTTAAACTCAGGGCCTGGGCGCTGTCCCTGAGTTCTGTTTTGCTCAAGGCTGGTGCTCTACCACTTGGAGCCATATATATATACATATATATATATATATATATATATATATATATATATATATATATGGCACCACTTCCGGTTTTCTGGTGGTTCATTGGAGATGAGAGTCTCACAAACTTTCCTGCCTGGGCTGGCTTTGGACTTCGATCCTCAGATCTCAGCCTCCTGGGTAGCTGGGATGACAGGCGGGAGCCACCAGCTCCTGGTCTCTCTCTCTCTCACACACACACACACACATACACACATGGTAGAGTGTACAAGTGGGCTGGGCCCATCCATGGGTACATGAGTGTCTGCAGAATTCTTGAAGGTGGGTGGACACAGATGGATACCGCCAAACAGAACAAATTATTGCTAGCAGGTAATTCCCAGCGAACAGGGTGGCTTCCCCATTTGCAGAACTAGTGGTCGCTGGTAATGTAACGGGCTTCCCTGCCAAACACAGATGGCATCTAGGCTGAGCTCTGTGTGTGTGTGTGTGTGTGTGTGTGTGTGTGTGTGTGTGTGTATACCAGTCCTGGACCTGGGCGCTGTCCCTGAACTTTTGTGCTCAAGGCTAGCACTCTGCCACTTTGAGCCACAGCTCCACTTCCGGTTTTCTGGTGGTTCATTGGAGAGAAGAGTCTCGTGGACTTTCCTGCCTCAGGCTGGCTTTGAACCACCATCCTCCAGATCTCAGCCTCCTGAGTAGCTGGGATGACAGACGTGAGCCGCCGGCCCTCTGGCAGTACTAGGGTTTTGAAGTCAGGGTAGACACCCTATCATTTTGCGTTTGTACCTTAGAAGCACCCTCTGCAGTTAGGCCTTGCGGAGGGGGCTCAGGGTGACCCCCAAATCTGGGCCATTGCCAGTCAAGAGCAGGGTAGGTGCTTTTGCGTCACTCCTGGAGGCCACAGGAGTGACCGAATTCTTGCAGGACTCTGGTCAGGGCCCAAAACCCCTTGGTGGACAGGAAGGGATTTGATTCTGGCAAATTCTGTCCTGGAAGCAGGTGCGTGCGCTGCCCATTTGAGCTGGTGCCAGCCAGGCTGAGGTCCGAAGTAGCGGTGAACGGGGCAGCTTTCCCTGCCCTGGTATCAGAAGTCAGGAGAACCTCCTGACCACATCCTGTTTTTCTGGGGCCTTCGGGAATGCATTCCTCTGCCTCCCTGTCACTGGCAGCATCTGTTCACACCAAGTTCTGGATCCTTCTGAGGCCACCCGGTGGAGGGGGCACATTCCCCTGGCTTGACGTCACACGTACCATGGGGCTGGCCGGTGTCCTTATGGGTCTCGGTCACCGCTTTCCGGTCCTGCTGCGTATGGGGGGGAGGAGGGGAGATTGGCATTTGTTTCCTTTTTAATTATGATGGTTATTAATTTGTGTGTGTGTGTGTGTGTGTGTGTGTGTGTGTGTGTGTGCGCGCTGGTCCTGGGGCTTGAATTCAGGATCTGGGCGCTGTCCCTGAGTTTTTGGTGTTTGTCTCTTTGGTCAAGGCTGGTGCTCTACCACTTTGAGTCACAGCTCCACGTGTGGCTTTTCTTTTTGTTTTTCTTTTTTGGTCGATCGTGGGGCTTGAACTCTGGGCCTGGGCGCTGTCCCTCAGCTCTTCAGCTCAAGGCGAGTGCTCTACCACTTGAGCCACAGCACCACTTCCGGTTTTCTGGTGGTTTTATTGGAGATAGGAGTCTCACGGTCTCTCCTGCCCGGGGTTGGCTTTGAACCGTGATCCTCCGATCTCAGCCTCCTGAGTAGCTAGGATGACAGGCGTGAGCCACCAGCGCCCGGCCTCACGTGTGGCTTTTCTGGTGGTTCAATGAAGAGTTTCTTGGACTTTCCTTGCCTGGGCTGATTTTTTTGAACCACGATCCTCCAGATCTCAGCCTCCTGAGTAGCTCAGGATGATGGGTGTGCGCCATATATATATGTATGTATATATATATGTGTATATCTATGTGTGTGTGTGTATATATGTGTATATATGTGTGTGTGTATATATATGTGTATATGTGTGTGTATATGTATATATGTGTGTGTATATGTATATATGTGTGTGTGTATATATATATGTGTATATGTGTGTGTATATGTATATATGTGTGTGTATATGTATATATGTGTGTGTGTATATATATATGTGTATATGTGTGTGTGTATATGTATATATGTGTGTGTATATGTATATATGTGTGTGTATATATATATGTGTATATATGTGTGTGTATATGTATATATATGTGTGTATATGTATATATGTGTATATATGTGTGTGTATATGTATATATGTGTATATATGGCCCTTGCTCACCGATCTGGCGGGCCTCCATGGCTGATTCTCCTCCTTCCCGTCTTCTTTCTTCCAGCCTCCCTCCATCTGGGAGAGGAGAGCCTGTGGTCCCGGAAGCAGGATGAGAAGATGGCACACTTGCTGTTACCTCGGGGCACCAGCAGCTTCCGCAGGTTCACGCGCGAGTCCCTGGCGGCCATCGAGAAGCGCGTGGCGGAGAAGCAGCAGGCCCGAGGCCGCGCCGCTTCGCAGGACAGCCGCGAGGGCCTCCTGCAGGAGGAGGCGCCCCGGCCCCAGCTGGACCTGCAGGCTTCCAAGAAGCTTCCAGACCTCTACGGCAACCCACCCCGGGAGCTCATCGGGGAGCCCCTGGAGGACCTGGACCCTTTCTATAGCACCCAAAAGGTGAGCTTTAGGCCATGCGCCCCACCCACCAAGGCCCTCAGCCAATCACAGACACGCACAGGGCTCCTTTAGAGCCCAGGCCCCGCCCCCCCGGCAGCTGCACTTCCGGTCCCTGGCATAGTACTCTCGGGGCAGGACTACTTCCGGGAGTGCACTTCGGGAAGGCCATTCCCGCACTGGCAGGTTTTGTTAACGAGAGGAAGTGGCTCTTGTCCACCAGGGCAGTATGACACGTGTCCTTCCCACATGGCTTCCGCCCAGCCTTCTTCATCCGGGCCATGCGCCCTCCCCCACCCCCCCACCAAGGCCCTCAGCCAATCACACACCTGCACAGGGCTCCTCTAGAGGCCAAGCCCCGCCCCTGGCAGCCTCACTGCCAGGCCTGGCATACTACTTCCGGGGCAGCGCTTCTGTAAAGGCTTTTCCAGCCATGACAGGCCTCAGGAAAGCTATGGCGCTCAGCCCATAGGGCCAGATGTCGCTTAGGGAAGGGTCAGCGGGAACACACGTGTGTGTGTGTGTGTGTGTGTGTGTGTGAGCCACCTGTGGGGTGAGTGGGGGGTGTCACCACTGTGGTTTGAGGATTTGGAGAACAAATGACAGGTGCACACAGGCCTGTGGGAATGAATGGTGCTGGGGGGAGGGGAGGGGGGATGAGGCCCGGGCTTCCTGG